GGGATTGTCGATGAAGCAAACGTATGCTTGCTATAACAATAGACTACACTACTTATTTTTCGTAAGTAAGTAGAGTTTCGAGACTACCAGTAAATCAGTAATATGAGATGTATTTACAGCATTGTGGGTAAATTATAATACCAGTTATTCATCAGCTCAAACCAAATAGGGTGAATACATCTCATATAACCGATTTAGTGGTAGTCTACTTACAAACGAAAAATAATCTGATGTACACAGAAATCGAGAGAGATGTAAAAAGTGCAACAAATCTAGCTTGTTCAAAAGGCTTCTGGTAATTTAAGATTAAATTTAATCTATCTAACCTTTGTTAATTCCTTAAACTTGACGGTACACACCTGACCTCAGAGAGCAGACGGAGCAATTATTGGGAGGCTTCTTTCGTGAGAGTCTTAAAGTGAAGATTTAAGCAAAGGTTGAGATATAAAATCGCTGTGCTGTTGCCCATACGAATTAGAGGAATTCACCTCAAAATATTGTCAAAAGACACTTTAGCCGATCTGACGACAGCAAAAACGAGACATATAATAGAAGGACCTGGGAACCATCGGTTTTCTTAGTACAATTTTCTGTCGCTAAGAGTACAATGCGAGAGCCCGGCAAAACAGCAGATTAGGAATGGAAATGGAAAGTTCGGAAAGAAGGATATCTGCTTGATATTTAGGATTAAGGATATAATGGGTGATGAGTAGCCTAAATAAAAGATGCGATAATATTCCGATATTATTCAAACTTTTGGAACATCTTACTTCACACGGAAAGCTCTAAATCCAAATTAGACCGAACTCTAACATCGGAATGATGCGTTTCCCTGAAATGAGAGAGTGTAAATGTCATTAATACTTGATGCTCAAGTACAAATTCTATTCTCCTTTACAATTACTGGGCGGCATGACTAGTTGTTTCGTACTTGCAGGCAAATATGTACATCAAGATAATCTAATCAAATAATCTTCTTCGTTGACAAATTCACATTTGAACCAGCAGTAACAGCATTTAGAGTGAGGGTCGCTTAGTTTCATGACTCGAGTTTGATTTGGAGTTGTCATAGGAACAAGGTCCATCTCTGATGATGCAGACGAAAGACTCAGCACGGTGTCACCTGAAATAACAAGACTGTCTCTTCAGCCTCAGATGACTCCTGTTTTGACATTTGAAAAGATCCATCTCTAAATGTTTTCATCGCAAACTATCATACAGAATGAAAGCCACTTTAGCAATAATGAATTAGGACAATCATCACAAATGAGCTGTCTACTCTTGTTGCTACGAGTGACTATAATTCATGAGACTATTTATAATTCAAAAAGGTCTCGCTTTTCCAAAGGGTATGTTTATCCAAGAGGAAGTGAACTGCAGTTTCAACTTCACATGAACTGGTCTCATCTGCACCCCCAGTTGGATTCGAACCACGACAGTTGGGCGTAGAATCTCGGCACATTACAAATCTCCTTATGCCACGGGGGGTATGTAAATTTCAAGGAAGGCCGGGCATTTTCTCACACCACATTCTGTGATGGGATTGTTGCATTTGTCATAGTAATCGATCACATTACCTACTTTTCGTTTATAAGTAGGTTTTATAGACCACCAGTAGATCATGTTTATGTATTTAACCACCTTGACTTCATGTGTTCGAGATCGGATTGCCGATTTACTTTTATATTTGCCATTTCATGCTTATATATTAACAGTAAATGATGTACCACTGTCTATATCAGTGATCATGAGGGCAGATTCATTCAATAAAATTGTTTCATCTCCCCCGTAGGAGACGCGTGGCTGGCGTTTCATTAACGGTGTTTGTCTGCGCAAACTGACTCAGGATCTACAACCACCGATGGTCTGCCGTCCTCAGAGCATCTCACCAGCCGGATCCTGTGACCCAGTCTCGAAGAGGCAGCCGATATCTGTACATCATTTTGCACTAATCGGTTGCAATTGTCGCCTGGTCAAAAAGACTATGGGAAGCCAGGCCTGTGGTAAGTGAATTTGACGCCCAATAGGCAGCCGAAGCCACCCAGTTCTGCGTTAGCGAACATTTGGGTGCCAACCTACGACAAAGAAAAAGCTTTTCATTTTTCTCCGAGTTAAGAGTACAGAGCCCATTAAAACAAAGAACAAGACTTCAAAGCACCTAATCCTTTATCCACAAAAGTAATATAGACCAGAATATTTGCAGCCAGTGGTAGTACTCACGTTATTAGTAGTAGTAGAAGATAATGCTAAACTAATACCGTATTTCCCCATGTATAAGCCACCCTTTTTTTCCAAAATTTCAAAGCCCAAAATGAGGGGAGTGGCATATATAATGCAGGTACACGTTTTATGCGTGAAAAATGCATAAAATAATAAAGTAGGAATCAATTGGTTTTTCAGCAGTATGTTGTACTTTTTTGTAAACATTTGTAAGTGATGATATGATTACGAGACGACGAACAAATGAAGAGACACGCCTATACTGGAAGCTTTAAGTTAAAAGTCATTAAGTTTGCCAATGAATTTGGCAATCATGCAGCTGAGCGGTAATTTGGACCTCCACCAGATCGGAGGGCAATCATCAGATGGAGGAAGGCGGAAGAGAAGCTTCGGAAAATGTCAAGGATGAAAAAGGCATGTCGTGGGAAGTCTGCCAAGTGGCCACGTTTGGAGAAGGAATTGAAGACATGGATAGTTGAGCAACGATAACTTGGTGCAGTTATTACAACCAAGAGGATTTTGCAAGAAGCCAAAAGAATAGCAAGAGAAAAAGAAATTGAAAACTTTACTGGTTCAGCAAATTGCTGTTATCGCTTCATGAAGATAGAGAGAAGTTGTCCATGAGGACAGCCTTTAAAAAATGTGGAATCTCTAATTCTCTTGATGGTTTAGAAGATCACTTGATATATGAAGATGGCGATGAAGATGATACAGAGGAGGAAGAAC